ATCTTAAGTGTTCAGTACCTAAGTACAGTATTCGGCACCTAGGTTGGAATCACTTGTCAAGTGATCGGTACCCTCAGGTAGGAATTACTGTACAGTGATCCGTACCGGTTAAGTACTTCATACCTCCTACACCAGCATCATCAGCATATAATATAATAAAATTACAAAAATTGTGACCGTTAAATAACAACAACAAAAAATTTAAATTTTGACGTCATCTTTATTATGGCTTTTTTTACCTAAGTATGAAAAAAATGAAGTCCAAAAATTTGTTTTTAAATATTGTCCATTGTCCAAATTCATACCAACGTACGTTGGAGAACATTGATGTTTTTGTATCTCTAAGGCCACACGGACTTTTCTTTCAAATTTTTTATCCTCAACTTTAAGTGTTATTACTTAATTCCATTTAATGTCCTCATTAGAATTTAGTTTATGCAAAGCTAATGCAGACTGGTTTAACTTGCCTTCAGTCAAATATTTTTGGTGTTGTTGAACCCTTGTTCGTATTTGAAGTTTTGTTTCACCAACATATACTTTGGAGGATTTGCACTTAATTAAATAGGTTCCTGGGGTGCTGTTGCATGGTAATTTAGACTTATTTTTAGACGTTACTAGCGTTTTTAGGTTAGCATTTGATTTAAAAACAGTTCTGTGACCAGCTTTTCTGAATATTCTCCTAAGTCTGGGAGATATAATTGGTATCCATGGTAAAGAGATTGTAGGAAGGTTATTAGAGTTTGATGGAATTTCATTTTTGTTCGCAAAACGTTTTTATCGAACCTGATTAGAATAATCTTTAAGCATTTTTTTCATCGTATCCATTTTCAGTAAACACTTGAATTAAAAAATTTATCTCATCTTTTAAATGGTTTTTGCTGCATATTGAGTATGCTCTGTGTATGTATCTTTTGAATATTGCTTTTAAAATTTTAGGATCATGATTAGAATGAGGTTTGATTTTGATATTGGTTATTGCATCATTCCTGTAAATCTTGAACTCATATTTTCCTTGTGTATTATTAATAACAGTTATATCCAAAAAGTTAAGTATCTTATTTTTGTTTTCAACCTCAATAGTATATTTTAAAGAAGGATGTTGTCTGTTAAGAATTGTTTGGAACTATTCCGCTTGATTTAAGTTAAAAAACCTTGCATGGCTATCGTTTACATATCTAAAAAAGGATTTAATATCAATTAAAGGAATCATTATCGTAGCCATTTTTTTTGCTTTTTCCTCATGGTATTGTAAAAAAGATTCAGCCAAAACAACCATAAAAGACAACCTAATTGGACCTGAATTCTCCAACTCATGAATCTCACCATTCCACAAGAAATAACAACGAAATAAACAAAGTTCAATTAGTTGTTTTGTTTCCGTTAAAGTAAGTTTAGTTGAGTTTTTGTAAGAAACGCTTTTATTTAATTGATCCAAAAGAATTAAAGTTGCTTTGTATGGTGTTGATGGGTATAAGTTTACGATATCAAAGGATTCCTGTATTTCATCTATGTCAATTAACCACGACTTAGTCTTGTTAATAAAGTCTTTTGAATTTTTTAACCTAATAGGATTTCATTTAAGACGGTTGTATTCTTTTAACCAAGTAATTCGAAATTCCATAACAAGGTGTGCCAATAGTTGATACAACTACTCTCATTGGAAAATATTTTTTTTGTTTATGAGCTTTAATTAGACCATACAAACGTGGTGGGACAGGATCACTCAGGTATACGCTTTCATACTCATCATTAGAAAAACGCTGCTTTTTGTTAAGTTTTGAAAGGAAAGACTTTATTTTAGCTGCATAACTTAGAGTGGAACAAACACTAATAATTTTTGTTGGACCAATCTGTTTTCTAATTTTTTCAATTGCTTTATCATGTTCTATTCTTAGATATCCTATTCCTTTATCAAATGGATAAATATCAATTTTCTTGTCTTGAATAATTTCTTTAAATGCTTTTCTTTGATCTCTCGTTAGATTATGATTAATTTTTTTGCCCATTTTAAGTTTTCTCTGTACATTTTTCCTTAGGTTTTGCGCTTTTTTAATTTCTTTATTATACTCGAGTTTTAATATATATATATATATATATATATATATATATATATATATATATATATATATATATATATATATATATATATATATATATATATATATATATATATATATATATATATATATATATATATATATATATATATATATATATATATATATATATATATATATATATATATATATATATATATATATATATACCCAGCGGGCACAGACGTCAATCAAATGTCTTACGGACGTCTTAACTAGGTCGCGACGTCTCAAACCAAATTAGGACGTCCTAAAGATGTCCTGTAAAGACGTCTTTGTTAGGACGTCCTAGTGACGTTAACATAAAGACGTTATCAGGACTTCCATATAAAGACGTCCTATTGACGTCCCTAAGACCTTCTAAAGACGTCCTAATTACCTTAGAAATAAGTTGTCCTAATTACCTTTGAAATAAGAATTACCTTGGAAATAAGACGTCCTAATTACCTTAGAAATAAGTTGTCTCAAAGACGTTTAATGGACGTCTTCAAATAAATTTAAATTTAAAGTTGAAAAATTTATATATTAACTTAGCGCATAAAATATTATGCGCTAAAGCCCGTTCTCCATTCAGAACTTTTTGCGCTTTGGAGGAGCGGAAAAGTTCTTTAAGCATGCGCAAAAAGTTCTGATTGGAGAACGGGTTTAAAAAAACTGTTTGTGCATGCTCAAAGAACTTTTCCGCTTTTCCAAAGCGCAAAAAGTTCTGAATGGAGAACGGGCTTAACTCGTTTAATTAAAAATGTCTGCATTGTTTGGTTGATTATTTTGATATTATTAATTTTATTTAGTTATTTATCGTTTAAAGATATTTTTCAATTCTCTATATTCTATACCAATGATCTATAAACTATAATCTATACAATTTTTAAATAAAAGAAAATTGAGTTTAGTTATTAAGTTTAAATAAATAACCAGTATAGTGAGGGAATTTTAACAAAAGATATCAAAAATGCAACAAGACGTTTCAGTTGATGTTTTATAGAAAAGTAATGATACTTTGTGTGTCTATGTTATATATATAATATATAATATATATATATATATATATATATATATATATATATATATATATATATATATATATATTTATTATATATTATATATATATATATATATATATATATATATATATATATATATATATATATATATATATATATATATATATATATATATATATATATATATATATATATATATATATATATATATATCAAATTGAATGAAACAACACTTCCTGTGTTGTTTCATTCAATTTGATAATTTTTCCCATTATGGGTTGTATATATATTTATTCAGATTATTACTTATGTTGATACCTAGGTGTTGTTACTGTGTTGTTTCATTTAATTTGATGATTGTTCTATTGTGGGTTGTATATATAATTATTTATATATACATAGTTTATATATATATATATATATATATATATATATATATATATATATATATATTTATATTTATATATATATATATATACATTATAATGTTTACATGATGCATACATATTTCTTTTATATATATGTGTGTGTGTGTGTGTCTGAGTGTGTGTGTGTGTGTGTGTGTGTGTGTGTGTGTGTGTGTGTGTGTGCATAATGATCAATGTTATATACTGTTGGAAATACTGCTCTAAATGGGAATAAAAAATTTAGTTCTACTATATCGCTTTGATTCGGTCAAGTATTGCATATTTGTTGCGATGCTAAACTTGTATTTTTTATAATGGTTTTTTATATATGTATGTATATATAAATTATGTTAGTGTATTCTACAAATAGAGTGATGTCTGCAATGTTCTTAAAAAACAGAGCAATCAGGGCTGTGGAGTCATGGTGTTAGAGTTGCAACATTGTTAGTGGAGTCAGAGTCGGTAAACAAAATCGCAGCTCTGGCTCCAATAGTAAAACTTCTCGATATTACATGTTTTGTACAAAATATTTAACCTTTAAATAATTTTTTATATATTTGACAAAAAAAATAATTTTAATCATTGCGTAATGTTTTTAAAAGAATTCAAAGAAACGTTTATTTAATTTTTAATCAAAGTTCAAAAAAATTTTGCTTTGGAGTCGGAGTCGTTCACTAAAAATTCCAGCGAATAAAAGTTGGTACTTTTTTTTCAACTCCACATGCCTGAGAGCAATAATAAATTTGTAATAACACTTATCTAATTCTCTTTGACAGTTTGATTCTCCATCAGTAGGTTCATCAGGAAGCTTCCTGATGAATCTACTGACGTAGAAAAAGGTAACAAAGAGAATTAGATAAATGTTTTTACTAATTTATATATATATATATATATATATATATATATATATATATATATATATATATATATATATATATATATATATATATATATATATATATATATATATATATATATATATATATATATATATATATATATGTTCGTGTATAGGAGGGATTCTTTACAGTTATTGGCGTTAAACAAAAACCTTATAATTTTTTTGAACTTTACTTGTTTATATCTTTTTTTAAGTTAAGCATGAAACTTGAGATTTTTTTGCATTATTTAGTTTAAATCTACCGTTTCCAACTATTTATAGAAATTACTATTTACTGCTTTATATACTATTTACATGGCTTCACTTATATATTTTACTTTTCAGAGTTTCAGAGAAAAGTTATGTTCCAACTTGATGAAATTAAAAACATTTTATTAAATAATGATCCAAAAGGTTATAAGCAACTTGAAAGTTCAGATGAACATAATGTTTTAAAAAGAAAAATTGCAAATGGAGATATCGAATACATCACTTTTGTATGCATGAGTTTGATCTTTATAGTTTATATGTTATATTATTACATTTTTTTCTTTTGAATTGTCATGAACATTTTCAATGTTTCTTTCGCATTGTTTCTTTTTAGGTTAAACAGTTATCATTAATTGGCAGTAAAAATTTAGTTGATACAATTAAAAATATTTTGCTCTTGTAAGTAATTAGCATAAGTTTAAACATTTATGTTTGACAGCATGACATTTATCATCTTTTTTATATGTAGACTGACAAGACACTATTTTTAGAATGCAGAATGAATGGTCTAAAGAAGAAAAAAAAGTTTAAAAAGTTGACAAGTCAATGTATCGCTATCACTGGTATTCTTATTAGCTTATTATTGTGTTTAATTTACTTTTAAAATTAAAAGCGATCTTTTAAAAAAAAAAAAATTTTTCTCAATTTCTTTGGCTATGGAACATGACATGTATTTTATTTTATGATCTTAATGAACTATGTCTTGTTGTTTTCATTAGATGCTGCTTCAAATTCAAATGAAAGCTTTACCAAAATGGATCTCATGCAACTTCCCAGTGGGCATTTCGACGTCGAACGAACGTCGAACGACGTCGGATCTTGACGTCGGATCAAGGTTGGGTTTACGTTGGAAATGGAAATGTTATTTGACGTCGGATAAACTGACATCGCGCGACGTCGGCATTCCGATGTAAATCCAACGTGTTTTTTGAAAACTAAAAAACGTTGCCTTTGGCAGGAATCGAACCTCGGTCTATTAGAAACTATATCCTACGCGCTTACCACTACACCTCAGGGACATATTGTTTAATGTGTTTATTTAGTAATTTATACTTGTAGCTATTTGGGAATTATTACTTCGATAAGAAATAATTTTTTTTAAATATTATATAAATATTAAAACGAATAGTTATATATTATAAAAAATGTATACTCGAAAATGTTAATAGTTAAAAAACTATGCTAGTGCATCATACAAAACCTCATGATGTTTTATCAACCATTATTCAAACTTCTTTCCATTAATAAAAAACACGCTTAGTTCACATATTTATTGAAGAGCGCAATTGCACACATATTGTTGGGTTTGGATTAAATTTTCATCAGCGATGTCTTACGACGTTGTTCCGACGTCGTTTTAAGGACGTTGGATTGACGTCGGAAGACGTCAAAAGACATCGGAGTACGTTAATATTACGACGTTGCCCGACGTCTTTTTATCGACGTTGGATCGATGTCAGTACTGCGACGTTTTTTGGACGTCTTTTATAAGATGTCGGAACAGCGTCAAAATACATCGAAACGACGTCAGGGGATGTTAAGATAAAGACATCGCCCGACGTCATTTTACTGACATCGGAACAACGTCGGAATAGGTCTTTTGACATCGCTGATGAAAATCGTACGTAAATCCGACGTCGGATTGACGTCGGGTGCCCACTGGGTTATTGGAAGATTAATTAGGCATTTTTCTGACCCATTCAATAGAAAATCCACCAATATCAATATCGATAAATGGTGTCTTAATTAACTTCAATCAACTGTTTTTTTTTTTATTTATTTTGCATTTTTCAGTTATTTTCTTTTTACTTATATTATACTATCGATTATACTGTACAAAATATATTAGTTTTTAATTTGAAAAGTGTAACTTTGTTTGGATAATTTTTCTAAGTTTTTGTAAAACTAATAATTTATTTTAAATATATGAAATTACATTTTATGAACTTTGATTTCTCTTTATACCTTCACTTGCCATCTAAGGTGTGTATTGCATATCATTGCATTTTTATATAACTTTTAAAAGAATGTCTAGGTAAATTTACGTCTCTAGGACGTCTGAATAAGACGTCCTTAAGTCTTTCACATGAGACCTTCTAGAGACGTCCACAGAACGGCTGAAAAGACTTCTCTAGGACGTCTACAGTAAACGTCCCTAGGACGTCTGGAATAGACGTCCTCAAGTTATTCATTTGAGACCAACTAAGGACGTCGTACGGACAAGACTTGAGACGTCTTATAAACGTCCTTAGGACGTCAAAATGCCTGCTGGGATTGTTGTAATGCAAGGAATCAAATAAAAAGTTTAAAATGTTACCAAATTTGCATTTTGTTTAACTAATGCTTCTTCAGCTATATAGATTGGTTAAAGAAAACGTTTTTTAAACTGAGACATAAATATCGTTAAACAGCTCTAGGGAGCTCAACTCATTTAATGCTTTTTTTACTGAGTCAATTTTAAAAATCTTTTAACCATTATCATAACGCTATTTTATATGTTTCGGCAATCTAGCGGTAAATTGAGTTCAATTCCGCGCTCTACTTCTACATAATCTTGTCAAATGAAATTTCTTTTAAGTGAATGTTCAAAAAATTTAACTCTTTTCCTAATCATTTGTAAAGCTGCATTTAAATCTTCTCTTTCACATATTTTTGGTTCAAAATCGTTTAGATTATTATTTTCAGATTCACTAGAGCTAGCACTGGAAAATCTAGATACATAATGTGACCAACATTAAAATTTTCATTTCTTTTATAAATTTTAAAAATAAAAATAATAAATTGATTTGTAATAACCGCCAACTATCTGGTTTTTTCAATAGTGGGGATAGAATTTCTTTCTATGCGTGCAAATTAAAGCAACTAATTTACTTATGGTGTAGTTTTCTAAATCTCTTCTCATCATTACGTGTTATTACATTTTGATCATAAAAACGCGGAAACCGCGGAAACACAGAAGGTAATTTACTGTGTTAATTTTATTGATGCACTAACGCGTAAAATAGCATAAATATCAGTTAATGTATTTTCCGCAAAATACATTATCTGATATTTTTGTGAAAAACGAGTATACAATATATGATTTATAAAGTTTTATTTTTAATCATGAAAAGAAGAGGTCTAGTGATCAAAATCTAGAACTTTTGGGTTTGTACTAAAAATCTGCACTTCTAGTCAATTGTCTTCTTGAAATGCACATCTAGTCAATTGTCTTCTTGAAATGATAAATTAGAAGAGGCAAGTGTTGATATAACCAACTAACAGATTACATTAAAGATATTTATCAGTACTAGCAAAAAGCAACCCGTAATATGAGTTATGGTCGTTCTTTGACATAACTAATTTATAGTGGCTGTTTTCCACAATTTAATGTTGCAAAACCGTAACTAAGACCTTTTTAAACGCCTTCAAATTGAAAAAACTAATCCATCTGTAAAATTAACATAAAAAGTATGAGGAGGTAAAACAATTTACCAACTACTACTTAACATTTACAATTTCTAATTAACATTATTTGAGCAATTTACTACTGACATAGGTCATAACAGTGTAAGGCAGAACCATTTTCCTCAACATTCCTAAGTTCAACACAAAACGTTTTTAGTTACTGACACAAAATAATAGCACTTCATCGTGCTTTAAATTGACGAAAGTATCAATTAAATCATTGTAATAATTGTTATAACATGAACTTTGATTGATTATTAAGATTAAGATGAAGTTAACTTATATTACACAGGAGTTATCAATTTTTTGGCATCCACTTGATTAATTTTACTTTAGAAACGAGAATTGTTAACTTAAAAACGTTAAATGTACACAACTGAATAAATTTATTAAAAATCTTCTTTTTGCTTTAATGCTTGCTAGGTGAGTAGAGTTTTTTTTATTTAAGAGTAATCAAGTTATTAAGAGTAATCAAGTAATAAAGACCTTTTGCCAAAATAAATTAATGATTTACAAGTATAAAAATGTTTTGTTTCTTTCCTCAAAAGTGTTGCAAATGCAAACTAAGCTAACTAATAAAGTAAACACGTAAATAAAATTTAAGTAACTCGATACTTGACAAATGCTCAAAACTACAATATTCTACATGTTTTTAAAAGTTTTAAGTTACGACCTCCCGTTTACAAAGATCCCCTACGATACGTACAACAAATTATTAGGCATAAAATAGATGAAATAAAAAATATTGAACTAATTGCATATATTCATATCTTTTTAACTAACAAAAATTTACAATAAATAGAAATCAGATTGTTTTTTTTATAAATTTTATAAATGCGTCATAACGTAAATCTAAAATAAAAAAGTAATGGAATTATGATATCACTAGCAGTAAGCAACCTGTAATACGCGTTGTTAGTAAATAAAATTAAAAAAAAAAACCGCGTATAGAAAAGCCTAGAAACTACTTTAAAATAGAAAAGCCTAGAAAATGACGTAACTCGACTAGTAATAATATTAAATTAGCGTATTCATATTATCAGATAATTAAACAAAAAAAAAACCGCATAAAAACTGGAAATCGATTCACCTATTTATAGTGACCTATTTTGAAATTACAGTTAATAAAATGTAACTATAAAATCTGTTTTGAAGTACAAAAGATTTAACAATACTGAAAAAAAAATCAAACTAAGATATAAATTGCATTTTTAGCAAAATGTTGCCTCAGCTTTTACACGGTCGTTTAGATGTGGAAAGTTATTATACGCAAGCGCAGTGTCAAATTCAAATATTATAATTTTAAAGATGGTGACGGCCTTTGGATACAAAAATTTTTCTGAGTAGCAACAACATATTTAAAGTTTTACTAAGTAGTTATTACTTGCATATTTTTGATAGAATGAAATAATAATAAAGATAATTGAATTGTTGATTCAAAAATGATAAAAACAATATAAAGATGTTTTAGTATATAAAAAAACCGTGATTCTCTGCTACATTTATCTGACTGTTAAAAGCGTGATTTGTTTACATTTTCAAAACGCTTTTTCTAAAAATCTGAGCGATATAATTTAATAATTTTTACCTTTTTATTTTGAATAGTCTTATCTTGATTTGAAATTGTTTTTAGATCTGAGTATTTAATTTTTTTCTGAACAAAAATAGAGTTCACCCAACACTACTTTTGTAGATGTATGATACATTTATATTAATGTATATAGCTAATATATATATATATATATATATATATATATATATATATATATATATATATATATATATATATATATATATATATATATATATATATATATATATATTTATATATACATAATTATATGTGAAATTATAATGCAAAAAAAAAAGGCTAAAAAGTTCACAAGTTTCTTATAAAGTATGTAAGATAAAATATTTATATATAAGTTAAAAATAAATATATTATGTTACATAGTTTGTATACTATGTGATTTGTTTGCATTTAATTTATATTTCTTTTTATAATATGGGTAGTATAAACTATGCAATATAGCTTTTATAATATATCATAATCATTTAACTATATATTATATACAATTTGTATCCAATAAATTTGTGTGCATATTATATTTCAACACGATTACAACAATTGTATGCAAACACATTTAATGCATACAAATCAAACTCTGAAAAATAATAAAATATTAAAAATAATAATATATGTCTAAGCATAGTATACAATGTAATACAATGCAGTATATATATACATATATATATATATATATATATATATATATATATATATATATATATATATATACATATATATATATATATATATATATATATATATATATATATATATATATATATATATATATATATATATATATATATATATATATATATATATATATATATATATATATATATATATATATATATATATATATATATATAATACATACACCATTGGCCATTAATTAGAGCATACTTACTTATAACATCGACTGTATCTTTTTTAAATTTTTTTGTTTGTTAAAAATTAATGCTTACTGCTTTATTTTTAAAATTAATGTAATTTATTAATGATTTTTCTTTAATAATTTAATTTGATTTTTATTTGCATTTATTAA